TATAATAATAATAATAATAATAATAATATAAAATTACAATAGTAATATCTGCATCTGTACATGCATGGCACACTAAGCTACCGACCCGCTTACCAGCATATTTGTCATGCGCACTCCGTGTGTGTCCCGGATGGATTGGTAAAGGAATTTTTTTCCTGGCGAGTACTATACGTCGTAATCTAGAAAAAACAACGACTGCCACTCACGTACGCGTTTGCGTGCACATGCGTGGAGATAGAGCGCGACTTTTGTGATTAAATTAAACATAACATAACATATACAAATCATATACAAAACATATATATAAAACATATATACAAAACATACACAAATCACCAAACCAATTTCTATAATATTTAAAATATTCGTCTAAACACTTAATATATTTAGTTTTGTTAATATCTTGGCAATAGTCGTTTCTTTGTCGCCTTTTTGAAGTACTAACGACGCGCTTGTATTTGTTTTGTTGATTTGGCTGTACTTGTCAGTACAGATATAATACTAGTATGGCGGGTGCACCCGGCGCTGCCCGCATTATTGTCTACCCCTCTCGCGAGCGTGCGTGCATGCGTGCGTGCTTGCGTGCACGCGCATGTGTGTTTTAACTATATATTGCCCACATATTACCTATATACAGCCTCATATATTGCTTACATGCACACAGAATAGTGTATTATGGCATCTCGAAACGGAACCACTTGAACACAGCTACAATAGGTCACGATGGCAAATATTTAAGGGCTATGCGTCTACGATTACAAACGCATAATAAAGGCATTTCCATATATTGGCCAGGTGTATAAACAATATATCCAAGCGAAATGATTACACTTCTCTTTATTGCTGGCCTTTATAAACTTCCGTTTTGAAATATGGACTCCGTGTCTTACTAAACCTAGTTTAATATATACCCGCTGTATATTAATATACCCGCTGTATATTATATATCGTCGTATTACTGGGAACATATGGAGATTTATTGGTATATGTTAGCACCTGCAATCTACAATGTGGCTGTAAATAGGTAATTATTGTTAAAATAGTGCTTCTGTATTATATTCCTCTTCTGTCGTGTAAACCGCAGTATAAACACCGATATATGGCGTTTTATGTAAGGTTGCGGTTATAGGGTGAGCAGAGAATGTCGACTACATGCATGACCGTCCTGGTGTACGTCATGGCACCATGCAGATGCAGCGCACAACATGTGAACGATGTCGTATCGGAGATGCTTGCACATGCGTATCGCACGATGAGAGCGGTAGCATGAGCGAATTTCCTAGAGGTGGGGCGAAATTTCGTGATGGGGCCGCATAATGACGAAGGCGTGAGGGGCGCAGCTCCCAGTCGACGCGCAGAGAGTGGCATAAAGATGTGTTTTGAACGAGGGTTTAACGGATGTCTACATGCCGATTCCCACAAGTTTATAGATATTTTTATTTATTAGGCTTTTCTTTAATTTTTCTCAAAAATATATGGAGGAGTTCCCCTTTATAAGATGTGTTCCCAGATATATCGCCATTTTACGATTTTAACAGAATGCAATTTTAATTGACAGATACTGGGCAAGTGCTAACGCAGGTCACAAGCTATACTACGGGAAACTCAGCTAGTACAACTAGTGAGAGATTGGATAGAGATCATTCATGTCAAACCATTGATGGGTATGGCTCTTCAAATTAAAATAATGTCAAGAAAATATCAATTCATTCATTTGATAAACGGTCGACATACAGCTGCGTATCTCACGTATGACGCATATCGCCCTCTATTGGCGGATTTTAATTTTATTAGCTGGGGCGTAGCTAACTTTTTTGCTTGGGGGGAAAGCCACGTGTGGTTTTTTCCTGGGCAGTGGACTGTGGGCAGTTTGCTATTCACCATGAAATAGTATCATGAGTACATGAATGAGAGAATCTCTCATTCACGTACTACATATATATATATATATATATATATATATATATATATATATATATATACATTTATCTGGAGGTAGTTATTACAATGTTTAATAATTATAAATAAATCTAGAGGAGAGTTTAGAATGAATCTGTCGCAGTTATAGGGTACCCCATGTGCTAGGGCCTCTTACATTTTTTATAGTAAGTCTCCGTGTTAGAAATTAACAAGTAACTCGCGAATACCAGCAGTCTATTTCAAAAGTATAACCTTGATCAAATATTAATCCTTCTGCAGATACTCTTCCCACCCCACTCCCAGACGCGACGGTATTGGTAAAAAAAAATACCCTGCGCGTTTGTACGTGTGCACGAGAGTGCGTGCGGGCGCGTGTGCGTACGTGAGTGCGTACATGCGTTTCTCCTGGTCGTACACGCGATCATGAGTACAAGGTTTATAATCAAGGTCGCTATAGGCTGCAGTGTGTTCCATACGTGTGGGGGGCGTTACGTTATGTAAAATGCACGTAGGCTGTTTTAACGTGGATATATGAAGACGTCAATGAAGGTTATCGAACACAGTTGTACACGTTCGGCGAAAAGTCGAGTGAAGAGAAGCTGTTACTTATACGCGAGCTATATTTAAAACCATTAACATTTAATAAATAGTTGGCTACTTACAGAAAATTTAATTCCGACTAAACCAGAACACGGCAAAAACAAACACCGACCATAATTAAAAATTCAGACGGCTAATCACGGATGTTGGTAGGGAGTTTAATTAATTAATAATTTTACATACTCATAGCATTCACGCACGCACTAAAACACAACACACACACACACACACACACACACACACACACACACGCACGAACACACATGCACACACGCGACGCACGCCACGCACGGCACGCACGCACGCCACGCACGCACACACACACACGCAATCACACACACACTACAC